TTTCTTCTGGGTTGGCTCTGCTCCCTGGCACGTTCTCCTCTTGCAGCAGCAAGAGGATGACTGGTATCTCTAGTCTTATATTTTACCAAGTTAGCAATCCAAGCAAAAAGAGAAGAGCTCTCTCCTTGTGGTTTTATCGAGTCCCACAGCTGATACTTATTGGCTCAGACTGGCCTGGCTTTGGTCGTGTGAAGGTGGGGAAAAGATGTTACCTACAAAGTAAAATCACAGTGCTCTTGTCAAATGGAGTTGTAGATGCTGAACAGACAAAACAGAAGTCCATTACACTTGCACCTGTAACTACACCTAAAACTATATCTGACCAGACTGTGTGATTAAGCCTGTTGTTTGAAAGATTAACAGATATTAGAGTTCTGGAATGATTTGATTTTGGACTCTTTCACTCCCTCCCTAGTCTCTGACCATTATCCTTTTCTTCTCCACTACAGAGAAAGATTTCTGGTGTTAAATTATAAGGACAAATTTGAGTCTGGCATTCTACAGCTGAGTCAGTGGTTTAAAGAAGGAAAACTAAAGGTAGAACTTGCTTCTACTCTTTATCAATATCATTCTTCCTGCTATTGGATATACTTTTGTATTATTTGAATTTGTTATAGCAAACATATTAATTTCATAATAAAAATTCCTACAAAAGAAAAGTATACTGAATATTATAAATTAACTTTACCTCTCAGGTGAGTATAACCTCCTAATTGAGAAACTGTCATTTCCTTTATCTAGAATTTTATTAACTTTTACTTTTCTTAGATTATATTACAAAATCAATAGGATTTTTTTTCCAAATTGTAATATTCATTAATTTAACAAATATTTATGGAATGTGACTATGTGTTAGAAGCTGTGCTTTCTCAAAAATCATATAAGCGCATCTTAGTACCCCTATCTCTCCACCACCATACACCTTTCCTGCCCTCCCTGGACATTCTGTTATCTCTCTTGGTTGTTGGTTGAAAATCAGGAGTTACTAATCTTGGGTCTAGAGATCCTGACCTGGGATGTTCTTGAAACCTGGAAATGATAGCAGTTGTATCTGTATGTGCCTATCTACTTCGTTTTTTGAAAAGAGGGTGTATAGCTTGTGATGTTACCAATTGAAGATTAGAAAAATCAATTGATAGGAAACTTTTCTGGGTTACCTACATGAAATGAAGAATGTCTATTTTTCGACAGAAAGTGCTAAATAGTATTGCTGCCTTTTGCAAAAGTGGAAACTGTTAAATAGAAACACTGAAGGAATTTTTATTATGAAATTAATATGTTTGCTATAATAAATTCAGATAATACAAAAGAATACTAAATCTAGCTATTTTGATTTACAGATCAAAGAGACTATGATAAATGGATTGGAAAACATGGGAGGTAAGATGAATGTAGATTTATTTATTATATACACGTGCTCAGCACATGTACTCCCTTTTTTCTTTGAATTCTACTTCTCTGGTGTTTTTTTCTTTTTGAATCATTTCTTTCCTGTAAAATGGTCCTACAGGTTTCCTTAAATGTCTTAATCAAACTCCATGAAAGTTCAACTTAGTGGTGTTTAAGAGTTATTGTTTTCGCATTTCAAATCATAAAATAAAAGTGTTTCTCTGGTTTCATAAACAACTTTTGAAAAAAATGTAAGAATCATGAAAGTCATTTAGCCTCTATTTACCTTTTTCAAATTGAACAGTTCTAAGGCATCATAAGATTATATTAAGCAAATTTTCAATATTTAGGTGGGTTTTTTTTTTTGCCTAACATACACATTTTGGCATACCTTTTTGTTTGTTTCAAATGAAAAGGATTAAATCAAACTGATTTTTTTCCTTTCTCAGAAAAAAAATTTAATATATTTACTAAACTGAAATATAAATTTCACTCATTTTTTGGCATAACAGATGTATATTTCACTTAGTAAAACTTTATGATTAGATTTATAATATTTTAGCTATTTAAAAATTGTTTTTGCTTACAGTTTATCGTCGCTCTTATTTGCCTATAGTCTTCAGACTCTGTAAACAGTGAATGTTGATGTGGACATCAATTAAACATTTATAGTTTGGGTGAAAATTTAAGATGTTAATTGGATTAGTTTGTCCTGTAGCTTTGCCATTGTTTTCTTTTCATGACAGTTTCCTTTTATGCTCCATATTAAGATCGTTGAAGAAATTACTCAAATTAATTGTATGTGTCTGACTTACGGATAAACATGTATGATAATGACATTTATGTTTTCAGATAATCAAGGTTTTTTTTCTGTCTTTCCAGCTGCATTCCAGTCCATGATGACAGGAGGTAACACTGGGAAGCAGATAGTTTGCATTTCAGAAGAAACCTCTTTGTAATCTCTATAAACGTCTTCATCAAGGAAATACATAGATTTCTTTCCATTTTGCACAAAGATTTTCAAGATACGTTAAAAAAAACCTTAGAATACAGATAGTTTTTGATTTAAATGTGACCATAGGTGATATTTTCTTAGTTGCATAATTCTTTCCTGTATTTTCAATATCATATCCGTACTCTACATCCAGCATATGAGTATTTACAACAATAGATTGAAGTCAACATGATCTATTTTTCTTTCTTTTACTAAAACTAATATTACATATGATATTTTTATCAGATATTCTGAAACTGCTGGAGATTTGATATAACTCTTAATGGATCATACAAAATAGCTTTTTAAAATTAATAACTTTGATTTAAAATGGAATGCTTGAGAAGGCACTTAGTAACTATTTGCTGAACTAGAAGTGCTTTACATAATTCCTGAACTGAAACTTGGCATAAGAATAGAATTGGGATGGCCTTTGCATATTGTAGATGGAAAAGGGACTTAATGGCAGGGTGTGTGTGTAGGAGTTTGGGGTAATTCAGAGCTTGTGGAACAGTTTTTGGGATAGGAGAGCAGAGGCTTTGTGTTGGGAGTAGTATGAGAAGAGAAGTAACTGAGGTCTGTTAGGTTGACGGAAAGACTAGATTTATACAGAAGATGATCTATTTGTGTTTTGCCAAATAATTTACTGTATAGCCTAAAAACTCAAATATATATTGATAAAAGCATATGTTTATTTTATATTAGCAGGCACATACTGTCAAATAATTGTAAAGATTTCAAGGGCAAATAGATAAACATCACTTGGAGTTTTAGGTGATTAAAAAGATTTAGACAACAAATATAGCTTCAGAAAATGACTGGCCTGACTGGGCAGATTAACAAATGGTTGTAAACATGAATGTTCAAGGTCTACTAATGTACCTCTGAATAAGAGACTTTGTTTTATTAATTGTAATCAACCCTTTAGAACAGTAAAATTGATATTATTCTGAGTGTTGTGCTGGTTTATGGTCATCTGTTTACACACTGTGTCGATGAAAATAATCCATAACCAATCTATAAATGAAAATTTGGATGAGTTTATTCTGAGCCAAAATGTGAGGACCATGGCCTAGGGCCTGCCTTCCCCAAGAAAGGAAGGGCACCAAAGAAGTGGGGTGTACAGAGTTGTTATGTACCCTCGAAGAGGATGTTTCACACGTGATTGAAATGTCCATTTTACAATAGTCATGAGACTGCTCTGTCAGCACAGCGATTGATGGACACAGCAAGTAGCAAGTCTGTTGTCTTGGTGGACACAGCCGGGTGGCAGGTCTGTTGTCTCGAGCTGGGTGGTCACAGGTGAGCACATCAATCAGTTCCTAGTGTAGGGAGAAATGCCTATCCTTAAGGAAACGCCAATGTGTGTGTGTCGGGGGGAGTTGCACCTTTATCTTAAGGGCATTTGTTCTTCCCATAGGAAATGTTTAAAGCGGATATACAATGCCAGCTCAATGGCCATGTCAGGCCCTTATGGAAAAACAAAGTCAGGCCGAATTAGGTTTACACCAAATGGCTTCCTCATATACTCCAACATATCCTATTGCTTGCCATGTCTATTTGTCACTGCACTATAGTTCTGTGTGCAACATTTGTAGAGAGTAGATCCAAATTGTGTTAGTAATCAGTTCCTCCAGTTGACTTCAGTGGGCTTCTTTATTTTCTTGTTTTATATACTTTTCCTGGATCATTTCATCTCGAGAGTGTTTCATCTCTGTGTGTTAACTCCTAAATCTACATCTGTATTTCTGACCTTTTACTTGAGCTTGGGATCTTAACCCCCAAGTAAATAGCCCTTTGGCACTGGGGTAGATAAACAAGGCTTATCTAAAGAGGAATGATCTTCCTCTGAAACCTGTTTCTCCTTTGTTTTTAAAACCACCATCCTTTATTTGTGTACCCAAACTACTACTCTCTCACCCATTCTTTTCCCAGTCATCAGGCCTTGTCTTTAACCTTGAAAGTGCCTAAGAGAACTTTAATTCCCACTGCCACTATCTTAGCGTCCCTCTTCCTTCCACAAGCAGCAAATATTCAAAAACTTAAAAAGTCAGTCAATCTCATAAAGCTCTAACAAGTGTTAGCATCCAGCCTGGAACTCGCATTCTAGCCCCCAGTCAGGACATCTGAGAGCTTTTTACATCCTAATATACAAAACCCAGACTCTAGGGAATTCATATTCCAAAAAAAAAGTTCTACACGAGTCTTGAGTCTCACCCGGCCTGGTATACAATACAGACATAGATTCTGCAGGTTCCCTTCTCGAGCAGTTAAGCTGCGAAGGGTCCTCTTCACTGAGAACTTTGATAAATGTTTATTTAAGTGGTAATCTTTTCTCTCTCGCTTGCCTGCACTGTGACTAGTCGTGATCTCAGCTGGCAGGAAAAACTACCCCATCTGCTGCCGCTGACGTCACGGCTAGAATGAACTGATCCCGTTTTTCGGGCTTCGCAGACCACAGAGCCCCGAGACCCAGAGAGAATGAGTGGGAGGCGGGGGACTGCGGCTCCTTCCGTCCCGGGGCGAGCCCAGCGCCGCGAGCCGGGCCCCGCCCCGCCAGCAGCCCCTCGGGAGAAACCCGGCACCGGCGGCCACCGCCCGGCCTGGAGGCGAGCGAGTGGGTGTGTGCGGGGGGCGGGGGGGCGGCCAAACTTCCTGTCCCGCGCTCGGGCTGCTTCCGGCGGGAGCCGGAAGGCGCTGTGTGTGGACGGAATTCGGGACCGACTGACGGACGGAGGGACGCCTGCCCGGGACGGGAAGGTGAGCTCCCGGGTGGGCCAGACCACACCCTCTGGGCTAGTGGTCCCCGAGAGGGAGGGAGCCGGAACCTGCTCCTCGGGGACTCGGAGCGAATTCGCCCCCGGAGAGGACCGGGAAACCGCCCCCTTTGGGCACCCCTCCCGGATCTGGCGGGCCCGGGAGCGGCCGGTCTGAAGCCCCACGGCTTCGGCCCTTCCCCGCGCAGGGTTTGGGGGTCCACGGATCGTCTCCTTCGCTTAGTTTTGGGGGCAGAGGCATGGGAATCAGACCGTCTTGAGAAAGCCAGAGTCTGCAAGTCCCTGGGGCGGGGGCTCCCCGACTGACTGCACCCGCAGCCAGGGCCTGCCCGCGGACCTCGGGGCCTTCCTTCCACTGAGGCCGTTGTAGTGGGCGAAAGAGCATGCCAGGAGGACTGTGCCCTGGGCTCTTTCAGCCCAGAGCTCCCGGCTTCTTTCATACGTCCACTCGGTTTCTGGTCTAGAAGAAGGAAGGCTGCCGGCTCGGAGGAGGGCCTGGGCCGCCGGTTTCTCCTTCGCCTGTCATTCCAGGGCGGGGGTGTGGGCCGGGAGCGTTTACAGCCTCTGCGTTTCGCAGGTTGAATTTATCCTCTGAAGTTTCTTAAGAGAAAAGAATCCAATTAGTTTATTAAAGTTTATCCCACTGGCTCGTGAGGCTCGTGAATGCATTTAGGTACCATTTGGAAGTTAAATATTATTAACGTGGAACTTAAGAATTTGTACTTCTTCCTCACTTTGGCGCAAGGGTCAACGTAGCATATTTGCAAGGCGAATGAAAGAAACATTTTGAAATGAAGTCAAGGGCATTTTGTTGTTAGGGAGTGAGAAATTCTACTTTGTTTTATCTTAGTGTGGGACAGAGTAAGGTTAACTAAACTGGCAGAAGATTTAGGTTCCAGTTTTTTAGGTTTTGCATCTAAGTAGATGTCTGATTTTTGGCAAGTTACTTAATCTCTAGCTTTTCGCTTTTTTCTCTCTGTAAATTAAGGGGTTTACTTACATATTCAGCAACTATTTCCTGAATGCTTAGTTTGTGGACAGTATCGTGCTAGGTTAATGGGAGAAGGATGAATAAATTGAGCGAACCTTAACTAGTGAGAGAAATATGCATGTAGACAACTACCACCCCTGGCAGGATGAAATAATTGCTATAGAGAGGTCAATCAGTGTGTTGTGAGAACACCAAGGGAAGGACAGATTTGTTCTGACTGGAGGGAAAGGATCAGCCTGTCTTCATGGAGGATGGCATTTGAGTTGGGATTTTAAAGGCTGGAAACAATTTCAGAAGATCGGGACTGGATTGAGGGTGTTTATTACTGGTTGAAGAAGTTGAACTATTTCAAGCAAAAACCTTGAGCACTGAAACAGACTGGTGTGTTCATTTAATAGCTAGTGCAGTGTGGGCTAGACTAAAGGGTTCGTTGAGGAATATAGTGGATGCTGCAACTGGAACAGTATTTGCGGACATATTGTCGAGTATTTCAAATGCCATGCCTAGGGATTTGATTGTTATTCTGAGGCACTGAACTTTCCAAACGGGGAGCGGCATAAGCATTTCTGTGTTTTAGAAAGGTAACTCGAGTGGCTGCGTAAAGATGGATCGGAAATGGGAATTTTAAGGTCAGGGTGACCAGTTAGAAGCCTGTTTTAAAAGTGTAGTTGAAAATAATGAGACCCCTAAACAGGGCATTACAGTGGGAATAAATTTTGGGGAATTGGAACCACTGGGATTATTTAACTATGGAGGATGAGAGAAATTGTTAAAGACCTAGAATTTGCAGCTGAGTGGGAGGAGGATTGGGCAGTAATTGAAATGGATAATACGGGAAGAAGGACAGGTTTGGCGGAGGAGAGGATAATCTGGATTTTGGACATTGTTAGGTCTGAGATGGATATCCATGTGGAGATACTCAGCAAGCAAGTTTGGAGTTCATAAGAGAGGTCAGGTATAGAGACAGAAACGTGGGTATCATTTGCAGTGTCATTCGTTCATTATACAAATATTTATTCAGTGCTTACTAAGCGCTTAAAAGGAAGCTTGTATGGAAGACCTTTAAGCTCATGGTAAAGACAACCTTAGAGCTTCACAGTATCAGAAATGACTCTTGGAGACCTAAATTCCTTATGAGTTACATACAGTTCTTTGCCAGGCACTGTGCTAGGTGCTGGGAGATACAGTAGTGAACAAGACAGACTAGTTCTTGCCCTTGTTTGTGGAACTTACAATTTAAAGGGTAGTCAGACAAAAATTGAATACTATATAAAAGCAAGTAAAAGAATTGGAAATTGTGATAAATGCTTTAATGAAGACAGTAGAGAGAGAAAATAAAGGTGGTAGTGGTGGGGGTATGGGGAACCTTCTTTGGATAAAGTGATCAGGGAAAGCCTTTCTAAATGAGGTGATAGTTAAACAGAGTCCTGAAAAATGCAAGAGAGCTAATCAATGGAAGAGAGAGGTGAAAGCATTCCTAGGTAGAGGAAATGACATGCGCACATCCCTAACATAGGAGCTTAATGTGTTCAAGGAACTAAGGGAGATACATTTGGCTCGAGCTGGGTGAGCAAGTAAGGGAGAGTGACTCTGAAGTGTGGTTGGAATGGTAGGAATGGATCGCGTAGGTTCTTATAGGCCCAGATAAAGAGTTTGTATTTTGTCTGGATGCATGGGAAGCCAAGTGAAGAGTTTCAGGCAATGGAGTGATATAACAGGATTCACATTTTAAGATGATAATTAGTGCTGTGAAGAGAATAGAATGGAGGGAGGTTGGGGCCGGCCAGGTGGTGCAGTGGTTAAGTTCGCATGTTCCGCTTCTTGGTGGCCCGAGGTTTGCTGGTTTGGATCCCGGCTGTGGACATGGCACTGCTTGGCAAAAGCCATGCTGTGGCAGGCGTCCCACATATAAAGTAGAGGAAGATGGGCACGGATGTTAGCTCAGGGCCAGTCTTCCTCAGCAAAAAGAGGAGGATTGGCAGCAGATGTTAGCTCAGGGCTAATCTGCCTCAAAAAAAAAGAATGGAGGGAGGCAAGAGTAGAAGCAGGGAGACCAGTTAGGAGACAGTAACAGTACTTTAGGGCAAGCATTGATGGTGGCCTGGAGTAGGGTGGTGGCAGTAGAGACAGATGGTGGATTTGCAATCTCTTTTGATGATAGAATCAATGGGACTTGCAGCTGGATTGGATATTGGGAGCAAAGGAAAAAAAGTAATAAAAATGACTCCTAAATGGGATGAATGGTCTTCCTGTCTTGAGTGGAGGATTACGGTGAAAGAGGTTGTCAGGAAATGGTGGGAGACAGGCTTGGGAGAGAATTCTTTTTGGATATATTAAGTTTGAGATATCAAGTTAAAACGTAAGGTAGAGAGGCCAAACAATTGTATATACAAGCCTATAGCTCAGAGGAGATATCTGGGCTACGGATAAAAATTTTGGACACTGTATCATTTGCAGCCATGAGTTCATACTAGGGAGAGAGTGTGGCAAGAGAAGAGGGCCTGAATACTGTCCTGGGGAACATTAATATTTCGAGGCTGAGCGGAGCAGGGGTATAGGAGTTATCAAAGAAGACTGCATAAATGGCCAGTGAGGTAGGAGTAAAATAAGGAACTTGTGTCTTGGAAGCAAAGAGAGTAAAGTGTTTGAGGAAGGAGGCAGTGCTTCTGAGAGGTAATATCAGTTAGTGCTGTTTGGTTGCAAGTGACCAATTTACTTCAGGGGAAGAGGAAATTATAACAAGGATGTGGGCAGCTCACAGGATCGAAAGAAATGCTGAAGGCCTTGGCTTTATAAAGGACAAGAATCTGAGCAGCCCCAGGGGGAGGCTGCTAACTGCATTACTGGAATGAATGGGCTGTTGGCAGTTTCCAGGGCTTAGTTACTTCTTTTAGGATTCAGGTTCTAAGGAAAAGTGTCTGATTTGTTCAACATGGGTCAAGTGTCCACTAGTTGGCCAGGGTTAGAAAAGAACACCTTAATCTACAGCTCCACCAAGAATATATCCAATGGATGAGAGGTAGATCCCCAAACAAAATATGGATCCTGTCTCCCAAGCAGGGGAAATGAATGTGAGACAATCAAAAACAATAGTTGTCCATTGCAAAGGTCAAGTAAGGTGAGGACAGCAAAGTGTCTATTGGATTTGGCAACATGAAGATCATTGGTAACCTTAATAAGAGAGGTTTTGGTAAAGTGTTGGAATTGGATAGTGATTGGAGATGAGAAAGTGGAGACAACTCTCATGATAAATTTGTCTCTGAAGGATTTCGGAGAGATGGGGAGGTGACTAGAATAAAAATCAGGGCTGTGGGATTACAGCACACTAGAACATCCTGGGAAAAGAAGAAGGCCCAGAATGAATCCTACAGTTTTTAAGATTCATTCTGGCTTCACATTCTATATTCCAAATTTCCTTCATCAGTGCTTTTTATCACTTTATTATTAGAATTTAATCAGCTCCCATAATATGCTACATATGATACCAAAAGTTACCTAGTTTTTCTATTCCTAGCACTACCATTTTATACCAAAATTTAAATTGCTGTTTTTTTAATTTTAATTTTTGGTCTTTGTAGTTCACTATCATAAGTGTTTAGCCACAGGTAGAGATGGAGGAAGCTGAGAAGCAGATTGGCCCATATCAGGAGAGACTAGTCCTCTTGGTTGAAATCATCTGCTTTATTTTAACCTTTGGGAGTGGTGACCAGTTGAGGGGAGCACAGTGTTTCTCAGTTTCCTTCCTCTTTTATGCCCCCGCCTCCCTTCTTCTTTCTGAAACTGAGTTGGTGTCAAGGCAGTTTCTGCCTCCCTCAAGTAAGAGCAATACTGATGTTTTAGGCTTTGTTTTCTAGGGTGGGATCACTTTGCTTTTTAGAGGTTGACACGATGTTCTGTTTCTTTCATGAGGCAGAGTAGTATAAAGCCCTTGGTCATCTTTCCCTTTGGGAGACACTCCTTTCTGTATGGCAGACAGAACTGAGGTAAGAGACCTGTATCAGCTCTGTTCCCCTGTTGCTTGCTTAGTTTATGCTGGATTAGTTTTTCCTTCCAGTATTTCCCCATGTAGCCTGCATTAGTTTTAGGCCATCTCTACCCTAGGGAAATGGTATTACCACTAATTTCTGTGTAGTATGTGGGAGTTCTGCATTGGGATTTGGGACCAAAGACCGGTTGACTGTAAGGATTACTTTGCCTTTCTTTGCTGACCATTGCCTAGTGTGTAGTATTTTCCTCTGCAGATCTCACAGGGTGGGCTTGAGGACAGGATTCAAGTAATCTCCATTTCATCAAGACTTTCTATCAATCGTAATTGCTGATTGTTTGTAATATATATTTATAGCAGGTTTGTATCTATAGCTTTACATTTTATAGCTGCTTCTGTGTTTAACATATATATTTTCAACATTTGAAGGTACTTTATAGTGTTTTTCAATCTAATGGGACGTAACCTGTTAGTAGCTTGTAAAATCAGTTTAGTGGGTCTTATCATTAAAAAAAAAATTCAGAGTGCATGAGGTTAGTATGGGTTAGTATTGTTTCATGAGAATGTTATGTATGTCTCTGTGTGTTTCATTCTCTGGGTTATGATGGGAAATGTGTCTTAACTGTGGGTTATAGTCACAGTAGTTTGAAAACCACTGCTCTATAGGAAATTTGGATGCCGTAATAAAAGACAGAGTTCTTAACCTTTTATAGTATACTGAGCATTTGATAGATTTACTTGTTTCTTAAGCACATATGCACAACTTTGTTTCTGAAGAATTTTATAATTATTTTTATTGATATATATATATAAATAATCCTAGGGCAATCTACTTTCATTTCTGTATTTCAGATGAGTTTCCTAGGGTCAAGAAGGCAAGTAGCATGTCCACCTTTCAAACAACAAGTCAGAGGCAGAATTTAGATTTCTATTTGAGATACCTTGGGTTTTTTTTTTTAACGTATCTTTATTTAACTTGTTCAGCTACTTAGTGTTAATGCATAATTTGCTGGATGATGTTGAGTGTACTGTAGAAAAAGAATGCAGCTTCTCAGACTTCAGGTCTCGGGATTTGTTTATTTGGCCTAAAACAGAAGGAGGGTTGTTCTCAAGATGGTCCTGAGCATAGAGATCGCTATTGTCCTACATCTGCTTTGCCATTGTTATCAATTCTCTCTTTACTTATTCCCAGTACTTTTCAGGGCTTCTTGTGTTCTTTGCTTTGGTTTATTGCAAGTTTTATGGCCTGCCGTCTTTTTAACCTCTAGGCTGACTATGGGATAACATTCAATAGCAGTGGCAGGGTCAGTGGATTTCTAAAAAATATAATATATGCTGAACCAAGATTGTTTTCTTTAAGCAGTCTAATGTGTTTTGATGGCCATAGGGAACCATGTACATGGTAAAATTTCAGTTATCAGGATTATGTCAGTTGTTGCCATGGATATGTCTTTATGAGTAAGTATACAGATGTAAACGCCACAACAAGAAAATTCAAATTAATGTTCATATTATGTGGTAGAGATGGCGTTTTGCTAAAATGAAATACTTAATGTTGAGCTTAATAGTGGAAAGATTTAGCCTTGGACTCAATAATATAGTTGATCTGTTTCTATATTTTAACTTTAGTAATACTAATGCAGAGAATACCATGCATGGTAGTATTTATAATGTCAAGACATGTTAAGCAGTTTATGACAATCAGATCCATATTTAACCAAAACTGAGAAGTCCTTGAATGCCAATTCTATTGAGGTATTGTTTGATAATGTTGTAGAGTTAGTTTCCTTGTTCAATTGAATATAAAATTTGCATTGCAAGTGAAAAGATAACACAGAATGGGAGAAAGTTTGTGCAAATCCTATATCTGATAAGGAACTTGTATCTAGAATATAAAAGAATTCTTGTTTTGTTTTGCTTTTTTTTTTTTTGAGGCAGATTAGCCCTGAGCTAACATCTGCTGTCAATCCTCCTCTTTTTGCTGAGGAAGACTGGCCTGGAGCTAACATCCATGCCTATCTTCCTCTACTTTATATGTGGGATGCCTACCACAGCATGGCTTGCCAAGCAGCACCATGTCCACACCAGGGATCCGAACCGGGGAATCCTGGGCCGCCAAAGCAGAACATGCGCACTTAACCAGTGCGCCACCGGGCTGGCCCAAAAAGAATTCTTAAAACACAATAATAAAGACAAATAACTCAATTTAAAAATGGGCCAATGATCTGAATAAGCATTTCTCCAAAAAAGATGTACAGATGCCCAATAAGAACAGGACAATATGCTCAACATTATTAGCCATCAGTTAATGCAACTCAAAACCACAGTGAGTTGCCACTTCACATCCACTAGGATGGCTATAATGAAAAAGGCAGATAATGACAACTGTTGGTGACGATATGGAGAAATTGGATCCCACAGGGGCTGGCCTGGTGGTGTAGCGGTTTGCATGTTCCACTTCGGCAGCCCGGGGTTTGCCGGTTGGGATCCCAGGTGCAGACCTAAGCACCACTTGTCAAGCCATGCTGTGGCAGGTGTCCCACATATAAAGTAGAGGAAGATGGGCACGGATGTTAGCTCAGGGCCAGTCTTCCTCAGCAAAAAGAGGAGGATTGGCAGCAGATGTTAGCTCAGGGCTAATCTTCCTCAAAACAAAAAGAGAAACTGGATCCCTCATACACTGGTGGGATTGTAAAATGGTGCAGTCACTTTGGAAAACAGCCTGGTAATTCTCAAGAGGTTAAACATAGAGTTAACATATGACCTAGCAGTTTCACGCCTAGATATATAACCAAAAGAATGAAAACATATGTCCACAGAAAATTGCATATGAATATTCATAGCAGTATTATGCATAATAACCAAATTGTAGAAACAACCTAAATGTCCATCAGCTGGTAAATTGATAAATAAAATGTCTGTCTATACAATAGAATATTATTTGGCAATAAAAATAAATGAAGTACTGATACTTGCTACAACAAGAATGAACCTTGGGAACATTATGCTAAGTGAAAACAGCCAGGCACAAAAGATCACATATGTAATTCCATTTTTATGAAATGTCTAGAATAGGCAAATCCATACAGACATAAAGTAGATTAGTAGTTTCCTAGGTCTGATCAGAGGAGGGTTTGGGAGGAAATGGAGAGTGGCTACTAATGGGTAAGGGTTTCTTTTTTGGGGTGATGAAAATGTTGTAAAATTGGTTGTAGTTATGGTTGCACAACTCTGAATATACTAAGGACAATTTAATTATATTGTTTAAATGAGTGAATTGTGTGGTATGTCAGTTATATCTTAGTGAAGTTGTATTTAAAAAAAGATTTGTACTGGGCTTTAAAATATCTGTTAAATGGGTAACTGGAATTGGGAATAGAAACAAATTTAACTGCATATTTGCCATCACACTTGCCTATAATGTACACGGCCAGTTGCTGTGTTAAAGATGAGTCCACACAGTCCACTTGATATGGTACTGAGTGCGCCAATACAGATTCTTTTGAGGTCAACCTGCGTATTCTGCTGTATCTGACTATCTTCTTTGTTCATACAGCACACACACAAACTACAAACTTGGGCACCAAAATTGTATGGCAGTACTCAGTTATAATATGGATACCCATTTGTCCCAGAAAATGCTTGTGTTCATTTTTTAAGATTATCATCAAAATGAAAACACTAAAATAAAAAGATGTCATAGATAACAGACTCTTGGGAAATGGTGATCTAGAGGTGACTCTTAAGCTATAAGAGAGGTGGCAGCTCCCTTCTCTAAGTTATTACAGCGTTGCAAAAATGTCTAAGATCTAGTATATCTGATTTTTCCCTTGTTCAGTGCACATATTCATATGCTTCATTTTATTCATTTTTCATCAGGTAAGGATAACAGAAACCTATCCCGGAGCCAGCACCATTAGTTTCTAAAAACCCTGGCAAATATAAAGGACAGTAAATAGTTGTTTAGTATTTTACAGATTTTACAATCCTGGAATCTCAGAGTTGGAGGAACCTTAAAGATAACCTAAACAAACCTTTGGTAATTTCTTGGCTTCTTGAGAGAGCTGGAATTGGGGAAAAGGAATTCTTAAAACCCTGGTGATTTGAGATCAAACCTTAGGGAGATATAATCACTATTCTTGCCAACTTGCTCTGTGGGAGGGAGTCCTGGCTCTGCAGCTTAATAACTTGGGCAAGTGATGTACTGAGCCTTGGTTTCTTCCTCTGTAAAAAGAGGGATGGATAAACCACACTGAGCTGTTAACAGTGCTTGAATAAGAAAAACATATGTGTCGGGGCCAGCCCTGTGGCTGAGAGGTTAAGTTTGCGTGCTCTGCTTTGCCAGTTCAAATCCTGGGCATGGACGTGGCACCACTCATCAAGCCATGCTGAGGTGACGTCCCACATGCCACAACTGGAAGGACCCACAGCTAAAATATACAACTATGTACTGGGAGGCTTTGGGGAGAAAAAGGAAAAATAAAAATCTTAAAAAAAAAAAGAACGAAAAATATATGTGAAATGAAAAATCAAGGATTTAATAATACTTTATTTTATGTGGGAAGCCTAAAATAAAAGGAGCACTTTCATTGACATCTTGTTAAATTTTTTGTTTTCTTGGTGAGGAATGGCCCTGAGCTAACATCTGTTGCCAGTCTTCCTCTTTTTGCTTGAGGAAGATTGTCCCTGAGCTAATATCTGTGCCAGTCGTCCTCTATTTTGTATGTGGCATGCTGCCACAGCATGGCTCGATGAGCGGTATGTAGATCTGCACCTGGGATTCAAACCTGTGAACCCTGGGCTGCTGAAGTGGAGCGTGTGAACTTAACCACCATGCCACTGGGCTGGCCCATAAATTATTTTTTTATGATGAAAAATGAGGATTTCTGGTAGCTAGCAAGGGGAAGAGAGGGGAACCAACAGGGCAATAAGCATTCATTTGGGTACTTCTAAATGCCCTTTTTGTAAAGTTAGTCTGTCTGTCTTATTCTAACTTTCCACACTACCTTGGCATCAATTGACAACTCCCTTCCTGGGTACATTTTACATTGTATAATTACTTTGTATATAAGACTGCTTCCAATTTTAGCAACAATTATACAAGATAAAGTGGACTCACTCGCTGAAATCTTGAAAAAAGAATTAAGCTGTAAGAAAATAGGAATTTAAGTTATTTGGGGATAACAGCTGCATCAGGGTCCAGAGAGTACTTCTTTGGGGAAATACGGTTTAAATTTTGGCTGACGGTATAACTACTTTTTAGAAAAATTGGGAAATTGAGGAAAGAAAAATAAGTCACACCAGCCTATCACCCAATATAGCATAGCTGTGTGAATTTCCTTTTACTTTTTCCTATGCATATCTTAACTAGTTTTTTTTTTTGCTGAGGAAGATTACCCTGAGCTAACATCTGTTGCCAGTCTTCTTTTTTTTGCTTGAGGAAGATTAGCCCTGAGGTAACATCTGTGCTAATCTTCCTCCACTTTATAAGCAGGTCGCTGCCACAGCATGACTGAGTGATGTAGGTCCACGCTCAGCATCTGAACCCACAAACCTGGGCCACTGAAGCAGAGCACACTGAACTTAACCACTACACCATGGGGCTGGCCCCGTAACTACTTTTAATATTAGCAAATGTATAATCTTGTATTTTGTTGTTGTAATTTAACGTCACTATCATTTTTCTTTGTTGTTGCATTGTTTTCATAACCATAAATTTAAGTGATAATACTGTAATTTAATCAACCATTCCCTAATTGTTGGATATATATGTGTACTTTTATATGTTGTTTGCAGTTGTTTATTACCACAGATGATAAGGAGAGTAAGGAGAATTCTTGGGCATATTGTTTTTCCCATGTTTAAGACCTTTTCTTTTCTTTTCTTTTTTTGCTGAGGAAGATTTGCCCTGAGCTAACATCTATTCCCATCTTCCTCTATTTTTTAGTATGTGGGCCACCAACATAGCATGGCTTCTAACAGAGAGGTGTAGGTCCATGCCCAGGAACCAAGACTGGTGCTGGCCCCTAAGACCTTTTCTTTCTTTTTTTTTTTTTTTAAGATTGTATTTTTTCCCTTTTCTCCCCAAAGCCCCCGGTACATAGTTGTATATTCTTAGTTGTGGGTCCTTCTAGTTGTGGCATGTGGTATGCCGCCTCAGCGTGGTTTGATGAGCAGTGCCATGTCCGTGCCCAGGATTCAAACCAACGAAACACTGGGCCGCCTGCAGCGGAGCACGCGAACTTAACCACTTGGCCACAGGGCCGGCCCCTAAGACCTTTTCTTAGAATAGATTATTAGAAGTAAAAGTTTACACAAAGTATAACTTTTTATGAGTTTTGATACCTATTTGGCTTGTTCTATTTTAAAACAAGTGTTGTAGGCTGAATTCTTTATTTGCTTGCTTGCTTGTGATTTTTGGATATATAAAGAAGTGCCTTTGTTTATGTAGCTATGTTTTTCCTCTGCTCTTAATTCTCTCTCTCTCTTTTTTCCTATTTTAGGCTAAATTGGTTACCCACCCAGCACAGCATCTTACAGGAAAACCATAGCATTTCCCAGAGAACTATGAGCATAACAGGAAGGTGTCATTGACTCTGAATTAAATTTCTAACCTGTCCCCTGAACAGCTACAGGATTTGGAAGCTGAATCAATGTTATCAGATGAGTTAGAATCCAAACCAGAGGTGAGCCCAGTCAGCTTGTTTCCTTTCTTTTGGTGGGCAGTATTCCAGAGTTTGTCCTTAGTTCCAGGGTCAGCAAATTTTTCTGTAATGGGCCAGATAGTAAAATTTTAGGCTTCGTGGGCCATATGGTTTTGGTTGTAACTGCTAGTTTATTATTTTTCTATTATTAAATACTTTCTCAAAGATTTAAAAATTCCATTTTTACCTTTTATGATGTTTATATTTATTATTTAGGTAAGTGTAAAATTATTATACATTTAGCTAATTACATAATGACAAAATTTTATTTTACATATTTGGCGTATATTTGTATATGTATGTAAAATTTCTTACCACAAACCATTCTTCTAATAATCTTGTATATATCTGAAAGTATTTGCTTTTTAAATGTGATTAGAGGATTTAAGCATTTTTATTTTTATTTATCTTTCTCATTTTATTTTTAGTACATCTGTGTTGCAAAGATTTGGAATAAGATTACTGAAGTTTGAAGACTGACACTGCTCCTAACTAGTCATGTCCTTAGACAAGTCACTTAATGTCTTCAACTTGATTCCTTATTTTAAAAATACATGTTCAATCTTACTGAGTTACAGTGAGGATTAAAAGAGGCAATACACAGAAAAGTGCTTTGTAAAATGTAATCAGTAAAATGCAGTTGAATTTTTTATAGCCATTATTTAAAAATTTAATTATTTTTATAATTTTTGTGTTTAGTGGAAGGTTACAGAGGTTAACTTAATTTTATAATTCAGCCTTTCTCTAAAACAGAGGACTTGATAAAAATAACTTTAAATAGTATTTTGTAGTTGATCTAGTTTTTCTATGACTATGGCTGAGACTAGTGAACAACCAAGACTTAATTACATCGTCACCTTTTGATAATTTCAGAGGTTTATATCCATCTCTAACAACCTGTATTTTTCAATGTTGTCTTCCCACTGCCCCCCAGCTCCTGGTACAGTTTGTTCAGAATACATCCATCCCATTGGGACAAGGGCTAGTAGAATCAGAAGCTAAAGACATTACTTGCTTGTCCCTCCTTCCGGTGACTGAGGCCTCAGAATGCAGTCGGCTAATGTTACCAGGTAAAAATTAAGATCACCACAGGTAAAGTAAATAAGTCCTAAGTGCTTAGCCTCCTCTATGGTATTGGTGGAATGGGATAACTGACTTTATAACTGACTGGTGGAAACTGTAAAAATTAGGAATCGTGAAGAAAAAGCAACCATTGGAGTCATAAGTGCATTGGTGATTTAAGTCATAGGAATGGATATGATTACTCTTAGAGTGGGAGAGTGAGAAGAAAAGAAGGCCAAGGCGAACCCCATGGAACTCCCTATTCAAGGTACAGGGTAAGGCAGGAGAGCCAGTGAAGGAGGGAGGAAGGAAAGGCTAGAGTACTCCAGTAGGAGGAATATTGGCAGAGTGCAGGCATGGAACCCAAGGGAATAGTCAATGTGTCAAATGCTCCTAAGAGACTCAGATAGACTCAGATAGGTAGGGACTATCCCAGTGAGATAGGGTCAAAAGGTCTTTGTTGATGTTGGCAGGACCTGTTCTTGGAGGGGGGGTGGAAAGCCAGGCTGCAGTGGATTGAGGTTCAATGCAAGGTAAGTATAGTTGAGGAAGTAACTATATTTTGTAAAGGCTTTCCTGCTATGGGAAAGAAAAAGAGAACGCAAGGTAGGTATAAGAATTTTTGTTTAAGATCTGAAATATTTAAGGATGGTTTTATGCTAAGAAAAAAGAGCTAATTAGAGAAGCTGCCGGCAGAAAGAGTGGATGATTGATGAGGAGGCTCCAGGACAGGTTGAAAGAGGTAGAATGCTGAGCACGAGTATTGAGATTAGCTTTGGATGGGAAGAGGGAGAGCCTATCACTTGACTATTAGCAAGAATATTATTTTTGGGTGCAATGAATTCTTTGTTTTCTGATTCTTGTTTTGAAATTTGGAATATTAATGTTAAATCAGGGGAGGGTCAGTATTAACCTGTTGGTGACAACTTACTTGTTTGTTATAAAGTTTTCTGGTTACTATCTTCTAATGGTGTTCTTTTTTCTTTGATTTTTGAAGTGACTTTAAAATGTTTTCAGTGTTTAAAGATTCAAGAAGGGCAGATATATTCAACCAACCAATGTTGATTTAAGGTTTCCCTATCTAGCTCCTAGCTTTTCTAAATCTACCATCTTTCAACTCCTATTCTATTAGTATGTGGGGAGTCTTTCCAAATACTGTGGATTTTCAATAAGTGAAAATTTCCACGTGCTAATAAATTTTGATCTTCATTAGGCTTTTTTTTCCTGAGTTGTCTCTCCCAATATTAATTTATTGAATAAATATTTTAACAATAATAAAGGGAAATGAAAACAGGGACAAAAGCATCCATCATCTTTTCTACTTTACCTTCTTTTAGATGTAATTTTGATTTAAAATATTTTAGACAACCAGTTACAGATAATTGCTAATGAAAACCATCACCTCCCAGCTCATGAAACATTACAAACACAAATATATCTGCACACACTTCCCTAACCTCATTTCCCTCCCTCCTAAATATGTTATCATTCCATGCATGGCCTGCATATTCTCTTTTTTTTTTTTCAATAATTTTTTCTTTCTTCTCCCTAAAGCCCCCCAAGAACATAGTTGTATATTTTAGTTGTGGGTCCTTCTAGCTGTGGCATGTGGGACGCTGCCTCAGCATGGCTTGATGAGCGGTACTAGGTCTGCACCCAGGATCCAAACTGGCAAAACCCTGGGCTGCCGAAGTGGAGCACGGAAACTTAACCACTTGGCCATGGGGCCTGTCCCTGTATATTTTCTTTTGAGTTGGGATGTAGGTATAGAGAGGTACAAACCCATGTGGATATATATTTTGAAGAATTAATATAAAGGAGATGCCTCCCACCCAATCAAGGAGTAGAGCATTGTGAGCTCCCAAGCCCTCCAAGGGCTCCTCTCTGATAAAGACAACCTCTGTTCTTCCATAGGTCACCACTGTCCTCACTTTTGTGACAGTTTTTTATTTGTTTTTCAAGTTTAACCACTCAGGTCTAAGCAGTGCAGTTTAATTTTAGCTGTTTTTGGACTTTGAATAGAATCATATGAATGTATGTTGTTGTACCTTCTTTTACTCTGTTTGTGAAATTCATCCTTCTATGTGGCTGTGGTCTGTTTGGTTTCATTGCTGTATAGTATTCCGTTATATGAGCGTACACCACCTTCTTTATCCATGCCACTGTTGATGAATATATAGTTATTTTCCAGTGTTGTACCATGACAAACAGCTGGTATGAACTTTATTTTAAAAAAATTTGTGTGGTAAAATATACACAACATAAAATTTACCATTTTAACTAGTTAAATTTACCATTTAATGAGTTCTGTGGCATTAAGTACATGTACATTGTTGTGCAACTTCGTTAGGCTTTGAAATGGCAATACTGTCCCTGGGCTTCCACTTTTATTCCTATAATCTTATCTGTTATCTCTTTAAAAGAGGAAAAAAATGTGGTCTACCTTTTATAGAGATGAATGAAAGCCCTGAAAATATTGGATGCTTCAGTGCTGTAGTCAGTTCCTCCTTGTATTGCAGCTAAAACCTTTGGAAATTCATCCCCCTCTTAGAATAAAGTTCTAGAGAGCAAGTCTTCTGAATTATTTCTTTACATCCAGTGTAAACCCAGAACTAGAATGACACATGTTGATGATTCCATCAAATTTCAGGTTTGTCTCAGGCTATGTTTTTTTTTTTCCTAATGACTCAGTAGAACTGTCACATACATGTTATAAAAATTAAAGAGAGGGATCTCTCCCCAAGAAAAATAATTTAAAATTTAGATCCTGTTCTTGAGTTAGTATTCATTGTATAACTATATTTTTCAAGGGAAAAGTACTGATTTGTGGTCTCAAAAGGACAAAGGTCTGTAATGTCCGAATGTGGATGGTTGCTTATTAGTTACTGCCAAGTGTCAGAGGAGTCTGTCCCTCACATTTTGGCTGACTCCCTTTAGAACTCGAAGCTATCTCTCTGTCTTTTTGTGAGGCAAATCTGTATTTGTAAAATGAAAATGCTGCCTGCTTCTGTAAGGGTGTTAGGTGCTAACGGATGTTACAAGGGTATTAGATGCTATGTATTAAAATGGTGAGCTGCTTGGAGATAGGTGCTACATAAAGCTGTTGTATTTTCCCTTTGTAGATGATACTCCAAATCATAATAACTCCTCAAAGGAGGTGCCTTCCTCAGCTGTACTGAGAAGCCTTCAGGTGAATGTGGGCCCAGACGGAGAGGAGACAAGGGCTCAGACTGTACAGAAGTCCCCGGAGTTTTTGTCCACTCCAGAGTCTCCTAGCTTGTTGCAAGATCTCCAGCCGAGTGATAGCACATCTTTTATTCTTCTGAACCTAACAAGAACAGGTATTCTTTATCCTTTTCTGAACTTTGCTCATGCTTAAGAAAAAATTGGGGGTGGGACATATTTTAACTCAGTCATACTTAAAATGGAAAGAAGCTTTATTATTTTATTATTTTGGAGAATTAGTGTAATCTGGTGATTGATTGAATGTGTAGAGAGAGGGCGGACTCTAGGGCTACTTAAAAGTTCCTTGTGTGGGGCCGGCCCAGTGGCGCAGCAGTTAAGTGCGCACGTTCCGCTTCGGTGGCCCGGGGTTTGCCAGTTTGGATCCCGGGTGTGGACATGGCACAGCATGGCAAGCCATGCTGTGGTAGGCATCCCACATATAAAGTAGAAGAAGATGGGCATGGATGTTAGCTCAGGGCCAGCTTTCCTTAGCAAAAAGAGGAAGACTGGCGGCAGATGTTAGCTCAGGGCTAATCTTCCTCGAAAAAAAAAGTTCCTTGTGTGGAAAATTGGGTAGTGCCATTCACCAAGGTAGTGAGCACAGGAAGAACAGGGCTTGGGGGAGGATGATTAGTTCCAGCTTGTACCTGTTGATGTTGAGATATCTGAGGGACATTCAGGAGGAGGTGTCCTTTAGAGTTAGAAACAGAAATCCAGAGTTCTAGAGGTGTCTGGTGTGAAATAATCAGTTTTGGTGCTTATCAGCGTTCAGGAAGTGTCTGAAACAATGAGCATGGATTCTTTGATTCAGGAGTAGTCTGACACAGAAAAGAAGGCTAATCTGAGACCCTGGAAAAAAATGTTTAAGGGGGTAGCAGAAGAATGGGAAGGAGCTGCTAGAGAGGGCTAAAGAAAACAGAATGAGAGTGGTGTGGGAGAAGCCAAGGCAGGAAAAAGTTTTAAAGAAGAAAAGGTACTAAATCATGCCAGATACCACTGGATGGGCTAGTGAGACGAGGACTGGGAAGTGTAGGTCTGGTGACCTTAGCAGAAGCAACTGTTATTGAGGGAGTAGAGGCGGAGGCCAGGGTTAAAGAGATGGGGAGCGGATGGCAAGGTAAACAGTGCATATGCAAGTTAGAAGTTAGGCTTGTTCAAGAAACTTGACTTTGAAGGGACAGGTGAGAACATAATAGCTAGAGAAGTACTTGAGACTTTCTATTCTTTTTTTAAAAATAAAGACAAGAGAGACGAGCTTGGGTAAGATGGCAACTAGAGAGGAGTGGGTTGCAGATGGGAGAGAGGAGATAACTGAGAGGATTGGGAGACGAGAGGTGTGGGTTAGCCTGGTTGCCAGGAGGAACAGTTTTGCCTCTGATAGAAGAACGGGTAAGATAAGGAGAGACCTTTAGCCTGGGAGTGGGAAGATGATAACCTAATCTTGTATGAGAACAGGAGCTTGAGGTGAGAGCTTGAGATCTAGAGTAGCTGATTCAGGACAGGAAGAGTTTCTGAACCAGGGCTGATAAAAGAATTACTTGGTGTCTAACTTTCATATATCCTCTTCTTTCTTCCAGGTCTGGGCTCTTCAGCTGAGCACTTAGTATTTGTGCAAGATGAGGCAGAGGATTCAGGGAATGATTTCCTCTCCAGTGAGAGCACGGACAGTAGCATTCCATGGTTCCTCCGGGTTCAGGAGTTGGCCCATGACAGTTTGATTGCTGCTACTCGTGCACAACTGGCCAAGAATGCGAAAACCAGCAGCAATGGTGAGACCCCTGTGGCGTTTTCCTTTCCAGTATTCTGTGCAGAGATTTTGGTAATGCAGTGGCTATATTTTGAGTTTTATGTAATCCAATTTATTTTATTGGTGAGAGCAGAAGGTTAGAAATGTGTAAATTGTTTATTTTCGGTGAATTAACTCAGCTGTGCCAGATTCATGTGCAGAATCAATTAAACTAGCATTCTCAATTGTCAGCTTTAAATAATGTGCAGAGCCTCTTTTAAAGGACAAAAATTTTTCACAGATCCTGGTGTTACCTTGAATTGTTTTTATCGTAGTGTTCCTTATACTTAAAGCCTTTACACCATTATGAAATCAAAACCTTCTATCAGTTAATAGAAATAAAACTATAAAACCAATGAAAATAAAATTAATATTAAGTCATTGTGGCAGATGATGTTTTGCTGAAACTGCATTATTCTCATGGCAGTTTAGCAATTAGCAGCTGCCAGAGAGCTGCTTTTTTTATTGGAACCAGTTCATCAGATGACCTATAACTATGCAAACAAGCTGTAGTGCTATTTCTTTTTATTCAGCATGCCTGTACTACTTTGTGCCACTTTTCTCTATCCAATAATTTTCAAAGTGTGGTCCCTGAATCATCAGCATCACCTGGAAACTTAGAAATGCAAATTCTCAGGCCTCATCCTACTAACTTAGAAACTTGCAGTCTTCTAGTACGCCCTCCTGGTGGTTCTGATGCATGGTAAAGCTTGAGGGCCATATTCAAACCACTCCTAAACCACTGCAAAACCTTCGCTTATGTAGCATGCCATAGGACTTTTAATTTCAGATCTGCCTCTGCATTTTCTCATTAACCTGTGACATTTGAGGTTGTGTCAACAAGTTATTAAGGTACATAACTATCATTATCACAAACCAAGTTTAAGCACTGAAATGTTATGTTAGTACCGAGCTGTTTGGAGCTCATGCAAATAATCTAGAATATGTTTGTGATTATTTTTTGATTACCATAAATGAAAATAAAAAATTAAAAAATTCCTCATACAGAACTCAAGGATCCTTGAGAATTATTTCAGAATATTCCAGTTTTAGAAACATTAACCTAAATCTTTCCTGCACAAAGAATTCCAAATTCTGGTAGTTTTCAAAATAATTAGTTATGTTTGTGACTATCAGAGTGCTGCTTAGAATGGCCCATTTTATCATTTTGGGAGGATTCTAGAGCTCAGATTCTTCCTGAGATGCTTTTGCTAATCCCTGGATCCTGAAACCTTCAGCATCTCCTTGTTGCATTGGGAAAGTAGTGCTTTATTTGCCAGTGAGAAGCAGTGTAGGGAGAGAATTTGGGACTGGGAATCTAGGGACCTGGGATCCAGACCTGGTGCCATCATTTACTAGTTCCCTGCCTGGGGAATTTAACCTCCCTTAGCTTCAGTTTTCTCATGTTCAGAACATAGAGATCAGGTAGCTTACCTGATTGGGTTGTTAATAGAGATTAAATAAGATTCTATCTGGGAAATGCTTTATAATCAGCAATGCATCGTATAGATGTTTTTATTACTCTCAAAATACGTTACCTTACTACCTAACAGCTACCTTATATGCTTGAATATAAAATAAGCCCAAATATATGACAGTCTTTCATATTGTCAGTGAGATGATTCCCTAAAAGTCTTTTTTGGGGCTTAGATATCTAAACCTTTAGGCATGTAGATAAAATTAAAGACTGTTAAGTTGCTATTTGAAATTTTATTATTTTGGTTGCACACACACATTTTAAATCATGAAATATGTTTATATTATATTGCTTTTCATCCACTAACATGTAATGAAATGATTTTATTCAATATTGTAATGCATTTTTAACATGAGTAACATGGCTTCTTTCTTATTACTGAAGCAATGTTGTGAGTCCTCTAGTACAGTTTTTCAGAGCACATCATCTTCACTTCCATCTGATTGAGATACAGAAATATTTTAATTTTGGATATGATGCTGTATATCAGGGGTCAGCAAAGGCCTATGGGCCAATTAACCATGTGGTTTTGTAAATGAAGTTTTATTGGAACACAGGCATGGCCATTAGTTACAGATCATCTATGGCTGCTATAATGGCAAAGTTGAGTAGTCATGACAGAGATTATATGACCCTCAAAGCCAGAAGTATTTACTATCTGGCCCTTTGCAGAAGTTTACTGACCCCTGCTGTATGATACTCTCACTGGAAATTTTATCCCAGACACAAAGACCTACTCACATAACTGTAGGATCTTTAAAGTGTTTACAGTATTATCCAACATGTGCCATATGAGGTATTGAATTTCTTTGTCTCTCTCTTTTTTGTGGGGGAACCAGTATATCAGAAGACCTCTAAAGATCCACAACTATCATTGCTCGAGGTCATTTTCAGCTAATCTGTCTTCTGCAAACAGAGCTTTGTTTTAAAAGACCAAGTAATTGTGGGGCTGGCCCTGTGGCCTAGTGGTTAAGTTTGGTGTACTCCACTTAGGCAGTGTGAGTTCAGTTCCCAGGCGCGGACCTATGCCACTCGTCGGCAGCCAGGCTGTGGCAGTGACCCACATACAAAATAGAGGGAGATTGGCACAGATGTTAGCTCAGGGTGAATCTTCCTCAGCAAAACCTCCCCCCCCAAAAACCAAACAAAAAACCAAAGTAATTGAGGGAGCACTCCTTTAAGTGAGTGATTTTATAGGACTCAAGTAAAAGGCAGCTCACTTTTCTCTGAGGGATTTTTTTTCTGTTGTATGATTATATCAGTGGTCTCATTGTATCTACAAAATTCAATGCACAAAGCCTCAACTGTCACCAGTTTAAATCTCTGGATTAGCGTGGGGCTTCCACAGACCTTTCGTTAGAAGTTAATTAGCTGGAGCTCTGGAGTTGCTGGGAAATTTCCTTTATGGTATATGCACTTTTGTACTGTTTAAAATTTACCTAGGTGTGCCAACACAGGAGCACCAAGATTCATAAAGCAACTATTAACAGACCTAAAGGAAGATGTTAAAAACAACACAATAATAGTAGGGGACCTCAACACCCCACTCACATCAATGGACAGATCATCCAGACAGAAAATCAACAAGGAAACAGTGGAGCTGAATGAAAAACTAAAACAATTGGACTTAATAGACATACATAGATCACTCCACCCTGAAGGAGCTGAATACACATTCTTCTCAAGTGCACATGGAACATTCTCTAGGATAGACCATATGTTGGGAAACAAGACAAGCCTCTACAAATTTAAAAAAATTGAAATAATAACAAGCATCTTCTCAGATCATAGTGCTATAAGGCTAGAAATTAATTACAAGAAAAAAGCTGAGAAAGGCACAAAGATGTGGAGACTAAACAACACACTACTGAACAAGCAATGGATCATTGAAGAAATTAAAGAAGAAATAAAAAAATAGCTGGAAACAAATGAAAATGATAGCATGCCATACCAACTCATATGAGATACAGCAAAAGCTGTATTAAGAGGAAAATTCATCCCAATACAGGCACATCTTAACAAACAAGAAAAATCCCAAATAAGCAACCTTAAAGCACACCTAACTGAACCAGAGAAAAAAGAACAAATGAAGCCCAAAGTCAGCAGAAGGAGAGAAATAATAAAAATCAGAGCAGAAATAAATACTATTGAAACGAAAAAGGCAGTAGAAAGGATCAATGAGACAAAGAGCTGGTTTTTTGAGAAGATAAATAAAATTGACAAACCACTAGCCAGACTTACAAAGAAAAAAAGGGAGAAAGCTCAAATAAACAAAATCAGAAATGAGCGAGGAGAAATAACAACAGACTCTGCAGAAATACAAGAGATTATAAGAGAATACTACAAAAAACTATATGCCAACAGAATGGATAACCTAGAGGAAATGGATAAATTCCTGGACTCCTACAATCTCCCAAAGCTCACTCAAGAAGAGGCAGACAATTTGAACAGACCAATCACAAGGAAAGAGATTGAAACAGCAATCAAAAACATCCCAAAGAATAAAACCCCAGGACCAGATGGCTTTCCTGGGGAATTCTACCAAACTTTCAGAGAGGATTTAATACCTATCCTTTTCAAGCTATTCCAAAAAATTAGGGAAGATGGAAAACTTCCTAACACATTCTATGAGGCCAACATCACACTGATACCAAAACCAGACAAGGACACTATGAAAAAAGAGAACTACAGGCCAATATCACTGATGAACATAGATGCAAAAATTCTAAACAAAATTTTGGCAACCAGAATTCAGCAATTCATCAAAAGAATCATACATCATGATCAGGTGGGATTCATACCAGGGACACAGGGATGGTTCAACATCTGCAAATCAATCAACGTGATACACCACATCAACAAACTGAGGAATAAAAACCACATGATCATCTCAATAGATGCAGAGAAGGCATTTGACAAGATCCAACAGCCGTTTATGATAAAAACTCTGAACAAAATGGGCATAGAAGGAAACTACCTCAACATAATAAAGGCCATATACGACCAACCCATAGCCAACATCATACTCAATGGGCAAAAACTGAACCCCATCCCCCTGAAAACAGGAACAAGACAAGGATGCCCTCTATCACCACTTTTATTTAACATAGTACTGGAGGTCCTAGCCAGAGCAATCAGGCAAGAAAAAGGAATAAAAGGAATCCAAATAGGGAGGGAAGAAGTGAAACTCTCGCTGTTTGCAGACGACATGATCTTATATATTGAAAACCCCAAAGAATCCATCGGAAAACTCTTAGAAGTAATCAACAACTACAGCAAAGTTGCAGGGTATAAAATCAATTTGCATAAATCAGTAGCATTTGTATACTCCAGTAATGAACCAACAGAAAAAGAACTCAAGAATACAATACCATTCACAATCGCAACAAAAAGAATAAAATACCTTGGGGTAAATTTAACTAAGGAAGTGAGGGACCTATATAATGAAAATTACAAGGCCTTTCTGAGAGAATTGGATGACGACATAAGGAGATGGAAAGACATTCCATGTACATGGATTGGAAGAATAAACATAGTTAAAATGTCCATTCTACCTAAAGCAATCTACAGATTCAACGCCATCCCAATCAGAATCCCAATGACATTCTTTACAGAATTAGAACAAAGAATCCTAAAATTCATATGGGGCAGCAAAAGACCCCAAATTGCTAAAGCAATCCTGAGAAAAAAGAACAAAACGGGAGGCATCACAATCCCTGACTTCAAAACATACTACAAAGCTACAGTAATCAAAACAGCATGGTACTGGTACAAAAACAGGTGCAGAGATCAATGGAACAAAATTGAAAGCCCAGAAATAAAACCACACATCTATGGACAGCTTATCTTTGACAAAGGAGCTGAGGGCATACAATGGAGAAAAGAAAGTCTTTTCAACAAATGGTGCTGGGAAAACTGGAAAGCCACATGTAAAAGAATGAAAATTGACCATTCTTTTTCACCATTCACCAAAATAAACTCAAAATGGATCAAAGACCTAAAGGTGAGACCTGAAACCATAAGGCTTCTGGAAGAAAACGTAGGCAGTACACTCTTTGACATCAGTATTAAAAGGATCTTTTCAGACACCATGCCTTCTCAGAGAAGGGAAACAATAGAAAGAATAAACAAATGGGACTTCATCAGATTAAAGAGCTTCTTCAAAGCAAATGAAAACAGGATTGAAACAAAAAAACAACCCACTAACTGGGAAAAAATATTTGCAAGTCATATAGCTGACAAAGGCTTAATATCCATAATATATAAAGAACTCTCGCAACTCAACAACAAAACATCAAACAACCCAATCAAAAAATGGGCTGGAGATATGAACAGACATTTCTCCAAAGAAGATATACGGATGGCCAATAGGCACATGAAAAGATGCTCATCATCGCTGATCATCAGGGAAATGCAAATCAAAACTACACTAAGATATCACCTTACACCCGTTAGAATGACAAAAATATCTAAAACTAATAGCAACAAATGTTGGAGAGGTTGCGGAGAAAAAGGAACCCTCATACACTGCTGGTGGGAATGCAAACTGGTGCAGCCACTATGGAAAACAGTATGGAGATTCCTCAAAAAACTAAAAATAGAACTACCATACAATCCAGCCATCCCACTACTGGGTATTTATCCAAAGAGCCTGAAGTCAGCAATCCCAAAAGTCCTGTGCACCCCAATGTTTATTGCAACACTATTTACAATAGCCAAGACGTGGAAGCAACCTAAGTGCCCATCAACAGACGAATGGATAAAGAAGATGTGGTACATATATACAATGGAATACTACTCAGCTGCAAAACAGAACGAAATCATTCCATTTGCAATAACATGGATGGACCTTGAGAGAATTATGTGAAGTGAAATAAGCCAGCGAGAGAAAGATAATCTGTGTATGACTCCACTCATATGAGGAATTTAAAACTATGGACCAAGAACAGTTTAGTGGATACCAGGGGAAAGGTGGGTTGGGGGGTGGGCACAAAGGGTGAAGTGGTGCACCTACAACATGACTGACAAACATTAATGTACAACTGAAATTTCACAAGATTGTAACCTATCAATAACTCAATAAAAAAAAACTGAAAAAAAAAAGTTATAGTTATTCAAAAAAAAAAAAATTTACCTAGCTGCGGGTCTGGCTTTTTCAAATAAACAAATACAATATGTGGGACAACATTTAGAAAAAAAGTTAGTTAATAATAATTGACAGAAGGCATCTTAGGTTCTACTCTAACCTTGGAGCGTTTAGTTTTATGACTACCATTTCGTGAAGCTCAGCAAGAAGAATGTAGGGCAGGAAGAGAATAAGATTGAAGATAGGCAGAAACTGCCTTTGATCACCTGTCAGGCTCCAAGGAGTGTGAAGGATACAACATATGTTATTCCTACTCTTGGCTTTCGAGAGGGAAATTTGGAAATATCAATCTTATTCCTACGGTGTGTATAGTGGAAAGGTAAACTCCATGTGCTTATAGCAGAATTAAGTGGTTGTGAATGGTTTTCTCTATGATGTCCAACTGTGTCTTGAAGAAAATAAAAGGAGCCCCACCTGCTACTTCGGAATTTCTGTAAAGTTTTAACTAACTGATTTCATTGAAGTTTAAGGGAAGCACTGCACTGTGTGCTCCTCTCCTCTCCTCCTTTTAGTTTGTTGAACAATGTCCGTAGATATTATCTCTAACTTAAAAATGTGGCTAGAAATTTTAAAATCAACTGAGTTTTTGCATTCTTAGATCTTTTATAACTAAAGAGTAGTGGTACAGGAAATTGGACGGTGATTCTTATTCTCTAGAATGATAGAAACAGCCAGATTGACTTGAAAAGATAGAAATCCAGGAGTGGCCATCTACAAAAGAAATTACTACCTTAAGCCCACAACTAAGCCGGAATGGCTATTCCTCCTTAAAATACAAGTTTTTATTATCTAGAACTTTAGGTAAAGGATGACATTAGTCATCTTCTGTAGTGCCCCATTCTGGGTGTTGCTATACCTGCTTCCCCACCAATCTGTGTAATGTAATCCTGCTTTTGTTTGCTTGTTGTTTATTTGTTTTGAGAAAGATTAGCCCTGAGCTAACATCTGCCACCAATCCTCCTCTTTTTGCTAAGGAAGATTGGCCCTGAGCTAACATCTGTGCCCATCTTCCTCTATTGTATAGGTGGGACGTCTGCCACAACGTGGCTTGATAAGCAGTGCATAGGTCTGCACCCAGGATCCGAACCAGCGAATCCCTGGCTGCTGAAGTGGACCCTGCAAACTTAACTGCTACACCACTGGGCCGGCCCCAACTCTGCTTTTTGATATGAAACCATTTTGGACATTTCCTACACTTGCCAAAGAGACCTAGTCTTGTGAAACAAAGCATGATGGCTTTCGGTAGTTCTCTGATAAGAGGATGAGGATGTAGAGCACTCTTACTTCTGTTGTTAAATGAATACAGAGAGAGCTGGGGAGGATGAAGCTAGAGATCTAATTAATGATCACTAGGAGTAAAATACAGGAGCTTTATTGTTTGAGCCAAAGTGTCTGAGCTGGGTCCTTCCCTGGATTATAAATATGTGACTCTGTTACAGGAGAAAATGTCCACCTTGGTTCTGGTGATGGGCAACCCAAAGATTCTGGGCCCCTTCCTCAAGTGGAAAAGAAGCTCAAGTGTACAGTTGAAGGCTGTGACCGGACATTTGTGTGGCCAGCTCACTTCAAATACCACCTTAAAACTCATCGGTGAGCATATCTGAGATTCCATACTTGGAACTCAAGAACCTTGATGCTTCCAGATGATCTTGTCTTCCCAGTTGACAAATTAAAGGAAAGTGGAGACTCCAGGTCACTTGTCTTTTGCTTTTTAATAGAAAGTTTTGTATTGTCTCATTTTCTTCATTCTGACAAATATTTAATAAGACATTTGGCACCTAAAATGTCTTAGAGCAAGAGTTCTCAAATCTCATTATAAAACACAATGTTTTGGAGAACTTAAAAATAACACATGAGATTGGGCCATGGCCTAAACCTATACAATCTGTATTTCGAGAGGTGGGGCCTGGGCATCTGTAGTTTTAGCAAACTTTGGGGGATTCTGATATATCCAGGTTTGGGATTTACTGTCTGCCTTGAGAGTCAGTAGGAGCTTTGACTTATCCTCTCTAGCAAACAGCGTTTTCAGGTGTTATCGCTTAGGTGATTTTTTTTTTTTTTTTTTTTTTTGCAGAAATGATCGCTCCTTCATCTGCCCTGCAGAAGGTTGTGGGAAAAGCTTCTATGTGCTGCAGAGGCTGAAGGTGCACATGAGGACCCACAATGGGGAGAAGCCCTTTATGTGCCCTGAGTCTAGCTGTGGTAAGCAGTTCACTACAGCTGGAAACCTGAAGAACCACCTGCGCATCCACACAGGTGTGTGCAACCCCAGCATTCCCATGGGCAGCCTGCTACTTGGCTTAGTGCTTATCCTTGGGAAAGGCTCTGAGGTGGAAGTAGACATGAAGGTCCAGGGTTGTTGCTAGAACTCTGAAGATGGAATTTCTCTTTTGCAAATGCCTCATGGCACTCTGATTCATTCAGTAACATTTTTTTTTTCCTTTTTCTCCCCAAAGCCCCCCAGTACATAGTCGTATATTCTTCGTTGTGGGTCCTTCTAGTTGTGGCATGTGGGATGCTGCCTCAGCATGGTTTGATGAGCAGTGCCGTGTCTGCGCCCAGGATTCGAACCAACGAAACACTGGGCCACCTGCTACAGAGCGCGTGAACTTAACCACTCGTCCACGGCGCCAGCCCCTCATTCAGTAACGTTTATTGAGCTTTCACCTGTACGTGAGGAAAGCACAGTGTTGATTTCTCCCTCCAGGACCTAAAGTATAGGAAGGGATATAAGACCTTCTCTGATAACAATGATGTGATGGGATATGGACAAAATAAGTCTGTTTCCAAATATCTTTGAACATTACACAGTCGTAGTTTTGGTCAGTAATTTATTACATCACACAAACCACACAGAACCTCTTCTAGGCACTAAATATTATCAGGTGGGGGGAAATACAAAAGCTAAAATATAGTCCATGACTTTGAGGAGTTTGCTTTCTTGTTAGAGCCTCACAACATGAGAAACAGAATGGAGAAGTGACTTGTTCTGCGTCAAACAGAATGTTAATATCAAAGGAGCAAAATAAAGATACTCTGACTTTTGTCTAAGTGTAAGGGTGACTTTCCAAGCCACTTCACCCAGCATATGCTAAGTCTCTTGCCAGAGCTTAATCACTGAACCCAGACTACTATCTTAGGATATATAACTTATTTCACCCACTTTTTCTGTCTCTTCATTGTTTATTCTTGTGTTGCTAAAATGATAGTAGGTATGATTAAAGGGCTTTTGAAAAGTTTTGACTTAAACTTAAGCCACATTTGTTCCAGGCATGTTCCTATGTTCCCTCCAGATTGACATTACCACTGGATGTGTTTTAGGGCAGAATAGCTCTGTTCTCAGCTTTTTCTTGAGAGAGTAAACTGTGCTTACTCCAGGAAAGCAGTTTGAATAAAAGAACAAGAAAAACATCCAGCTGAATAGATAAGGAAAGCAGTAGAGTTCACTATGCCTTATTGTTGCATTCAGTAACCTCTTCATCCCTGTGCTGCTCATCATCTTTGTAGCATTTGCTAAAACTGAACAGCTCCTTAAAATGCTTTCTTTTACTTCAGAGTATGACCTGGTTTCTCTCTTCATTTTAACTCTTGCTAGCTCTCCCTTATTAATCTTCTAGTTGTTCACCAATTTCAGAATTTCAGGTTTCTCCCAGTTTACTCAGTTTTCTGTCTTGTCACAGTCTCTCATAACCTCAATTTAATCATTCCTCCCTGGATGCCTTACGGATCTGAGTCTCAATAATTAATATAATAATAAAAGTTAGAATTTACTCAGGAATTTTTTTTTTTTTTTTTTGAGGAAGATTAGCCCTGAGCTAACATCTGCTGCCAATCCTCCTCTTTTTGCTGAGGAAGACTGGCCCTGAGCTAACATCCGTGCCTGTCTTCCTTTACTTTACATGTGGGATGCCTGCCATAGCATGGCTTGCCAAGCAGTGCCATGTCTGCACCTAGGATCTGAACTGGCGAACGCTAGGCTGCCAGAGCAGAACATGCACACTTAACCACTGCACCACCAGGCCAGCCCTTCAGGAAATTTAATATGTACCAAGCACATATACATTGTCTCATTGAATCTTTCAGGTAACTTTATGCAGTAGATTATTTATTTATTTAATTTTGTTGAGGAAGATTATCCCTGAGCTAATATCTGTTGCCAGTCTTCCTCTTTTTGCTTGAGGAAGATTGCCCCTGAGCTAACATCTGTGCCAGTCTTCCTCTATTTTGTATGTGGGATGCCGCCACAGCATGGCTTGATGAACATGCCACTGGGCCAGCCCCTAGATACTATATTTATTGATGAAGAAACAAGATTAGGAGTTAAGTAACTTGCCCAATACTATGCAGCTAAGAAGTGGCAGAGCTAGTTTGATCTGACTCTAAAGTTCTTCCAAGCATTTTTGTTTTTTTGAGGTTTTTTAAAAGATTTTATTTTTCCTTTTTTCTCCCCAAAGCCCCCCAGTACATAGTTGTGTATTTTTTTTTAAGTTGTGGGTCCTTCTGTTGTGGCATGTGGGATGCCACCTCAGCATGGCTTGATGAGCGGTGCCATGTCCACATCCAAGATCCAAACTGGTGAAACCCTGGGCCGCTGAAGTGGAGCACGTGAACTTAACCACTCAGCCACGGGGCCGGCCCCAAGGATTTTGTTTTCAAATGCTGACAACTCACTTTATCTCAGATGCCAGAATTGACCTCAGATCTTTATTAGTAGTAATGATAGTAATTAAAACTGCCAATTTTATTGGCTTACCATGAGTGCTTACCATGTGCCAGGTGTTATGCTGAGTATATTTAACTTGTAGTATCTCATTTAATCCTCAATTAATGTTTTGAGATTGTACGATGTTCATTTTAGAGATGAGAACTGATTCTCAGAGAGGTTAAATGTCTTCCCTATAATAATAAGTGGTGGTGCCAAGATTTGAACTCAGGGTTAACTGACTCATGCTCTTAACCATTATGCAGCATTGCCTCTTGAGTCTCCTCTTTCCTGTGTCCCTTATCTCAGCAAAATCACTATCCTCTTAGTTTCCAAATAGGAAGGCTAACTCACCTTAGCCAGATTGACGCAGAGATTCATGCCACTAGATTCTGATGAATCTTTTTCTAAATCCTTTTTCTACGGTTCTTTAGTTCATCAGGTTCATTTAACCTTATTTATTACTGGAATTTTCTGCTTTTCTGACAGTTATTCTGTCATATATATGAGTGTATCACTCCTTCAGTAACTTTTTGAGTGCCTAGCGTTCTGGGACAGGTATGAGTATACAAATATGCTTTCAAAAAAATTACAGGCCACTGGAAAGTCACAAACATTAAATGGTGTGGTACAGTCTGAAAGAACAGTATAATCTAGAGCTGTGCTGCTCCCTCCTTCCAGGCCCAGCTCCCATGTTGTCACCATGCCAGCCTTACTTGCTGAATAGGAAAAACTCGCTCTTCCTGTGTTTCTCCTTTACCCTCACACTACTGCCACACTCACAACACTTCTGACACCAGATGTGTGGATTTTTTCCCCTACATGAAGCAATTCTCTGACACCAGCTGGGTGTCCTACAATCTAACTCAATTCTGACACTCTCTACCTGGAGATAGCATCAGATCCCACAGGTTAAGGGCTCAGTCCCACAAGACTGTTCCCCACTTCAGATGCCAGTAAAGCAAGTAGTAGGTCTCCAGGTTACTCACAACTTCTGTCTGACTTGGCTACAAATTGGAGGTTTCCATGATCCTCCCTTTTGGATTCAATTATTTGCTAGAACAGCTCACAGAACTCAGGGAAACATGTTTATCACTTTATTATATAATAAGAGAGATGATAAAGGATACAGATGAACAGCCAGATGAACAGATATCTAGGGCGAGGTCTGGAAGGGTCCAAAGCACAGGAGCTTCTGTCCCTGTGGAGTTCGGGTGTTCCACCCTCCTGGCATGTAGATGTGTACTTTTGGGATTTTTCTGAAGGCTTCACCATGTAGGTATGATCAATCATTAACTCCATTTCTAGTCTCTCTCCCCTCCCCAGAGAATGGGAGGTGGGGCTGAAAATCCCAAGCTTCTTATCATGGCTTGGTCTTTCTGGTGAGCATCCCTCTCATCCAGGAGCCCACCAAGAGTCACCTCATTAGAAGAAGACTTGTACTACCCAGGAAAGTCCAAGGGATTTACTAACTCTGTCAGGAACCAGGGTCAAAACCCAATATTCTGGTGCTCTTATCACTTAAGAAATTACAAGGGTTGTAGGAGCTCTGCATAAGGAACTGGGATCAAAGACTAAATGTTAAAACAAAAGTTTCTCCTAGCACCCCTGTTTACAAGGGTTTTAGGAGCTCTGTGTGAGGAACCAGGGACAGAGACCAATGTTTGTATTTCTCATTGTTTCACACTTGCCGTTTTCTGAACTTGCCCTGGGCATTCTCAGTTTTAGGGGTGTGCTCACACTATCCTTGTGCCTGAAATTTCCTTCCATCCTTGTCATCTTTTAAGATCAGCCTAAATTCAGCTTCCTTAAAAAATTATCACAATCAGAGTTCCTCCCTTTCTAAATGCTTATAGCACTTTTTGCATAGGAATTTATATTAAAGTTATTATGAATACATTTCTCTCTCATACATTAGTCTGTGACCCTTGGAGGATGGGGACTGCATCTCTGGTTTTTTTCACTTCTTATTTTGAAGTAATAGACTCACGAGAAGTGGCAAAAATAGTACAAAGAGTTCTGTGTGTGCTTGACCCAGCCTCCCCCAAAAATGACATCATGTCGCCAATAGTACAATATCAAAACCAGAAAGTTAACAGTATGTCAGTCTACAGACCTTATTCAGTTTTCACCATGTATCTTTAATTTTTAAAATAACAAAGTAATATTGTAGAAAATGAAAATTAAATAAAAATACAAAGAAGAAAATAAGTCATCCGTAATACCACTATCAGGATATAAGTACTTTTAACATATCGTTTCAGATTTTTCTGTGTACTTCTGACTAAACATCTGTTTTTATTTCTTTGCTTTATAAAATGGGACTATGTAAGGCCTGTTTTATAACCTTTAAAAATCTGTACTTTTATGGGGCTGGCCCTGTGGCTGAGTGGTTAAGTTCGCATGCTCCGCTTCGGTGGCCCAGAGTTTCGCCGGTTCGGATCCTGGGTGGAGACATGGCACCGCTCATCAGGCCATGCTGAGGCTGTGTCTCACATGCCACAACTAGAAGGACCTACAACTAAAATATACAACTATGTACTGGGGGGCTTTGGGGAGAAAAAGCAGAAAAAAAAATCGTACTTTTACATGGATCTAGAAACTGAATCTTGAAGAGAATTGATGTAAGGTAAAAATCCTGACAGCATATACACTGTTAATCTTGATATCCTCAGAAGGGATGGGATCACTGAAGAAGGTAGGTCAGTGCAGCTTGGGGTCAGCCCTTGAGCCAGGAGGGAGAAGGAAGTATGATGCTCAGAGGCAGCCACTCTAAAGAAAAGGGCAGGGCTGTCTGGTGGGCTGTGTACGAGATTGTTGAGAGGCAACACTTGTTAGATAACTCAGTTGAGATTATATAGCCCGAATTCAGGAAATCAGACTTAGTCACTGGAAACAGGATAAGATTAATGGGAAAAGAGAGTAATAGATCATCAATTCATCAAAAGACTGAGTCTTTGTCTCATTTCCGTCTCTAGGAGAGAAGCCTTTCCTTTGTGAAGCTCAAGGATGCGGCCGTTCCTTTGCTGAGTATTCTAGCCTCCGAAAACATTTGGTGGTTCACTCAGGTACTAGAACATGTGCCATTCATAGATTTCAGAGAAGGTGGAGAGCCAAAAGGGTGAAATGGTGGGGGGTGGTATAAAGAAATCTAAAAAGAAACAAACTGTTCACCATAAATTTTCCTCCTGATTATGACAGAATCAGAAATCAAGGTTCTTGATAATTGCATTCAAATGGTCACATATTCAAGAAGAAAAAATCTAATTGTTATTATTTTCAGCTGAGCCATTGAACTGCTTTCTAATCTAGACCTTTTTCTGAGGAGATCAGCAAATTTATTTGGCACTGTGCTGGGTGCTTTATAAGTTACATCAAATATGGGCCATGGAGCCTATTCAGAGTAGAGACATGCCAACGCAGAAGTGAACTCAAAGTGGAGAGAAATTTTAGAATAGAAACAGGTAATTGTTCAAGTGGGTAGCCATGGGAAGCAAAGGGGAGCCAGAAGAGGAGGAGTGGAGAGAAGGAACTGGAAGTTAGTTATGTTGAGGACAGCAAGGCAGTTCAGTGGGAGCGAGGGAGTTGGAGAGGTGTAATCAGGCATGTGAATTTCAGAGTCGAGATCTTAGAGGTGGAGCAGTTTTTATCATGACAGGTTCTAAGCGGAGGTGGCAAACTGATGTGTTTGCTTGGCTTATAGGGTGTTTTAATTTTATTTTACCTTATTTCATTATGTAAAATTATTTCAAACATACATAAAAGAAGAGAAAATAAAGACATTTTCCTACATAACAATAATGCTTATTAACTTACCTATCAAAATTAACAATAATTCCTTGGTTTTCTCTCATACCAAGTCCATATTCAGTTTTTTCCAGTTGTCTGAAAAATATCTTTTAATGTAGATTTGTTCAAATCAGGATCCAACAAGGTCTAATATTACACTTGGTTAGTAAGTCTTCTTGAATCCAGATCTATACACTCACTTTTTTTTCATGCCATAGACTTGTACAACAGTCAGTCAGTTGGGTCCTATAGAATGTCTCACATTCTGGATTTGTTGGTTTGCTTCCTTTTATGTCATTTAACTTGTTCCCTATATCTCCTATAAATGGAAGTAAGCCTTAAAAGCTTCAAAGGTTCAAAGATTTTGCAAGGGTACATTATGGGTGGTTCTCTGTGCTTCATTTTATATCACATCTGGAGGCACACAGTGCTTGGTTGTCAAAATTGATCAGGGGGTTCAGTTGGTAACACCCTGATCCCCACATTGTAAAGTTCCCTAGCATCCTTTTGCCTTATGGTCTCATCTCTGAATGATGCCTGAATCTGTTATTTTATTAGGATTGTAAATGGTGGTTTTTCTAATTCTGTTATTTCATTCACGTGACTTAGCTGGAGTTCTTCTATACATATAGTTCTCTTCTCTATCACTTAGCACTATTTGGTAATTTGCCTGGGAAAAGCAGGATAAATGTGTACTTCTTTTCTTTTAATTGTGAGTTTTCAGAATGAGAAATTGGTGCTCTGGTTAGTCTTCTAGTGTTAGATAAGTGGCATTTTCATTGCTTTTTTTCTCTCTCTTGTTAGTATTAGTTTGAATTTATGGGTTTCTATATAATCATTGTATTTCAATCAACTGGTTTTTTTAAATAGCTTTTTTGATGTATAATGCACATAGCTTAAAATTCACCCATTGTAAGTGTACAAATGAGTGATTTTTAGAAAATATACAGAATTGTACAGTTATCACCACAATCCAGTTTTAGAACACTATTTTTGTGTCTGAAGGAAGATTAGCCCTGAGCTAACATCTGATGCCAATCTTCCTCATTTTTTTTTTCTTGAGGAAGATTAGCCCTGAGCTAACATCTGTGCCAGTCTTCCTCTACTTTATATGTGGGTCGCCACCACAGCATGGCTGATGAGTGCTGTAGGTCCATGCCTGGGATCCAAACCCACGAACCTGGGTTGCCGAAGCAGAATGTGTGGAACTAACACTGTGCCACAGGGCTGGCCCCCAGAACACTTTTTATCATGTCAAAAAGTTCCTGTGTGCCCCTCTTCTGTCAGTTCCTGCTCCCACCCCAGACCCAGGGAACCACTGTTCTGCTTTCTGTGTCTATAGATTTGCCTTTTCTGGAGATTTCCTGGCCATTTCACATACTTTTGCTACCTACTAGTCCCCTGTAGGCATGAGTTTTTGACCCCTGCTTTAAGTGTGGTTGTCTGGGTAGGTGGAATGGAGAGTGAGAATTTGGACTTGAGGACATAAGAGGATAGTTGACATCATTTTGTAGATGAACCACCAGTGTGAATGTTGAAGACTGTCAGAGTGGTGGCAGGAAATAGGACAGGGTATATTATGAACCTAGGGTTGGAATCCTTGAGGATGGTACATGTTCTAGAGGTTCATGGGAGACTGTATCTGAAAAGGGAAGTAAATATTCTGTGGCTGCCATGATCTTATGCCAAAGAGGTGGTTTTGTGCAGGCGGCAGTACAGTGGGTCTGAAAAGGGCTGGGTGCTGGGAGCAGTGAGCATGCTAAGCCCTCCTGGGTACTCTTCTTCCTTTTCCCCATGTACTGACAGTTGACAGGCTGCGGGAAGGTAGGGAATGGGAGAAGGAGCAACCTCTTACATTTAGTGTAACATTCTCTGGGCTTCTCCTTCTAGATCTTGAGTCTATTCTTTTGCTGTCAGAAATGTGCCCTGTCTTTTTGGCTCCCTTGTCTTAACCTGGTCCCTGTTTCAGGGGAGAAGCCTCATCAGTGTCAAGTCTGTGGGAAGACCTTCTCTCAGAGTGGGAGCAGGAATGTGCACATGAGAAAGCATCACTTGCAGATGGGAGCAGCTGGGAGTCAAGAGCAGGAACAAACTGGTGAGGAGAGAGGGTATAGTGGAGGGCTATATCTTCTGGGTTTAAGAAGCCAAATAACTGGCCTGTCTGGTTATCTGGAAATTTTCTGATTCTGCTTTGGGTGGAGAGACCTGCTCGCATTTGAGGGACTAGTGGTTTCCAAATGTAGCTGTACAGTAAAATCATCTGTAAGCTTTTACAACACATATATTCATATTGCTTGTCCACCCTCCCCCCCAATACAACAAAACAACTAGATGGTAACTAGTGCTGATCCATGAACCAGCATTTGAGTATCACTGTTAAAGATTTCTGTATGACAAGAGGTTAAGCATTTTTCATTTATCAGTCATCACTCCCTTTTTTTCCTAACTTAAATTTGATAAATCGCTTTTATTATTATTCCTTTTCCATATCTTTGCTTAATTATTTCATTCCAAATAGTCCTTTCTAAGGATGCATCCATCCTATTTCATATGCTAATTATCCAGATGCTGATCACAAGCAAGGATATTTATCTGTAAAGCTCAACTCTTCCCTTTTAGGTTTATTCTTGCTTCCGAAAAGTAGGTGAAATAGGAGGTGGTATCCAAGTTACAGGTTATCTTCTAGTTCTGAAAGAAAAGGCCAGCTTCCTGTGAAGGAAAATGGGGACTAGGCACAGCCTTGACTGCTGTATGTCTCTCACATCCTATTCTCTGTGCAGCTGAGCCACTAATGGGCAGTAGCTTGCTTGAAGAGGCTTCAGTAACCAGTAAAAACCTGGTGTCTATGAATACCCAGCCCAGCCTTGGTGGAGAGTCCTTGAATCTACCAAATACCAATTCTGTCCTAGGAGTTGATGATGGTAAGACTTTCAACTCTCCTTTATTTGGGGAAAATTGGCTGCAATTAGGGATTAAGGAATGAGGTTGTCTCCAAAATGGAGATTTTAATTAAGTTCATTTCTTGTGAGTAGCTGTGGTATGATTGAGTAGCATTTGTGTTCTCTCCGGGGTGGGTAAGTGAATCTATTAAAAAAAAATTTCATTGAAATGATGTAACAAAAGAATAAAGAGAAAAAATTTTAAAGAAGAAAATTATCCATAATCCTAGCATCCTAGCCCAACTATTTCTATCTTTCCTATTGCAGTTATGGAAGAACTTAACTTTTAAAACATTTAAACAGAACATAACCAGGTTTTACAGAGGAGATATAAAGCACTTTCTCCATACCTTCAAAAGCCATATCTTCTGGAGAAAAGAAAGGGCTCTCTAGGAAACAGTTGCTCCTCTCTGGTATAGAAATTTCACCCAAGTTACACAGGCCAGGCCCTCTTCTCTGAAAAACTTAACAGGTGAGGTCAGCATGCATTTATTCAGTGCCTACTTTGTGCCTGGCACCATGGGAAAGATAAAAGTAGAACCTTAAAACCTAATTGAGAAGTCAAAACTTACATGTGGGAAACAACATTGAGTGACTAGAATATAGTATATAAGCAAACGTTAAATTATATGGTATAGTCTGGAAGAGCAGTATAAGCTAAAAAGCCCCTAGAAGAAACTTAATTTATTTGAAAGCTAAGTGGTTTATGTATAAAGTTTTTCTGGAAGATTTTCATGGTGATCCCACTGATGAACATTTAATAAGTCTGAGATCCTGTGTTTTAGTTACTCACATTCCACTCAGTCAGTTTTGAGCATAAGTTAACAGGTTTGTGTAACTTACATATGGAGCCTACAAGGCCCAGAGTGTGCTCCCACAATGAGCCGCCTCTGTTTCATGAGTGATTCTAGTGGATGACTGAAGCACGAGGCACAGAAATTGCACGGAGCTACTTTGCAAGCCTTAACGAAGAAAGTCTCAAGGGAGGAAGAGACACTGAGTAGGAACTTTGAAGCAGGATTAAGTTCTTGACCTGAGCATATTGCACTATTTGTGTCATTGGTGATTGTTTCAAGGGTTGGCTCTGGTCCCCTGATTTGCCTATCTAAGCAGCTTTTGCTCTGTTTCATACACAGTGTTAATTCAGTTAACAGTGCTAAAGCCATATTCTCCAAATTGGTTTATTGAAAATAGTCAACTCTTATATCAAGATATCTTGCCTTTTCTTTCCATCCCCCTTTTGTAATACTTTCCAAATTCACTGATAATGCTTATCAGACAGGAGTTAATTTGGAAGAAATACAGAAACGTGGGATTTAGTTTTTCAGGGACCAGTTTTGAGAGTTCTTAATGAGAGGCTTGATAATGCAGGTAGGTATATCTGTGGATTCACTTCTATTGAAACATTTTTTCTGCTGTTTCACAGAGGTGCTTGCTGAAGGATCCCCACGTCCCCTGTCTTCAGTGCCTGATGTGACACATCACTTGGTGACCATGCAGTCAGGGAGGCAGTCATATGAGGTTTCTGTCTTAACTGCTGTAAATCCACAGGAGGTAAAACTGTCCCTTGGCCTTACTTTGTTTCTGTGGAGACTACTGTGGAGAGTGAAATGGGGATCTGAGTTAGAGGAGCTGAAAAATTCTCCAATTTCCATTTCCTGGAAATTTTGGTTAGAATATCTTCCTAAGCTAAGTATGAGTCCAGCTTTGAAAGGAGCCTGAGTGTTAGGGTCTCCTGAATTGGAAGATTAGTTTGTCACAGCTGGGACCCTCAGCTTTAATTTCCTTTATACACATGCCTTAATGAATGATATCTAGTCTACTATTCTATGCCTCACAATGAGATAAGGATGCTGTTTTTATTTATAAAGAAAATAACATCCAAGGACAAAGTGGTCCTTGAGCAAAAAAGGTAGTGACAAAATCATTAAAAATAATCATTGTTCATTTTGCTGGGGTCATATGTCTGGGACATACCAGGCTGAACTAACTGGGCATATAGGAATATGTTCACTTGCTTATTGAATGAGAACCATCATCTAAATTAGAGAGGGGTTTTAGGTTGATTCTAAGCACTCCCAACTCTCTTGTCTTGGCTGAGACCCAGAAAACAGAATGAAAACCAGTCAGGCTTCTAGAACCTTAGGATATTTTATTGGTCTTGTGTCATGGGAGTAGATGACTTTATCATAAGCTCATTTCATATACATAAGCTTTTGCCAAAACCTATGTAGCCTGGATGCCTTCAGTGCTATATAGTGTCTTTCACAGTGCTCTCCCATCATTTCCCCCTTCCTTTTATTAGAACCTTTATACAATAATCAGCTGTTAGAGCATATAAATGACTCTGCATCCTATATTAAATAATCTCCATTATTCTGTCATATTCTTGGAGCTACCCAGGCTCACAGGGCTATGGACATACATGTTAATGTGTCTTCCAGGACCTTTCCTTGTATTCATCATTGTGATGTCTGAGTCTTGCGTATATTATGTTGAAAGTTTTTTGCTGTCGGTATCATTGGTTCTTTCCTTAGTCACCTTCTCCTGGTTACTGCCTTGGAATATGTCTCACCTATGGAGGCTTCCTCTGTTTTTTCCCCCTCTTCATTTATCTGTTTTAAAATTTTTATAATGGAAGTTTTCAAAGAGCATAGTGAGAGAGAAAATAGTATAATGAACCCATGTACTGTTACCCACCTTCAGCAATTAACTTTCTACTGCTCTTATTTTATCTCTTCCCTCCTACTCTTTGTTGCTTGTGCTGGAGCATTTTAAAGCAAATCCAAGACATAATCATCTCATCTGTAAATATTTCAGTATATATACCTCTAATGGAGAAGGATTTTTTTCATAACTATAATATCTTTATCATATCTACTATCTTTATCACATCTACTATCTTTATCACATCTACTATCTTTATCACATCCAACAAAATTAATAATATATTGATATCTTCTTATACTTAGTCTGTATTCTGTGTTTTCTCAAAAATGTCTTTTTATGGCTGATTAGTTTGAATTAGGATTCAAATAAGGCCCCTCATTGCATTTTGTTAATAATTCTCTTTATCTCTAATAATCCTCCCCCTCTTTTTTTCAGTATGGCTGTCTATTTAAGGAATTGGGTCGACTTATAGAATTTCCCACATTCTGTTTTTTCCTGATTGACTCCTTTTGTTGTTTAATATATTTCTCTATCCACAGATTTCCTAAAAACTGGTTATTACATTTAGAGGCTTGATTAGATTCAGGTTTTGGTTTTTTCCTCCCTTGGCAAGAGTATTTTGTAGGTACTTGCTTCCTTGTACATCTCATCTGGAGACACATGAAACTCAGTTGTGCTCCTCTTACCGATCCTAAGATTGACCAGTGTGTTACATAAAAATCTTGGCCCATTACTGATCATGGCCTGGATCTGTTTTTTCATTAGGGCTTTCAAAATGGTGATATCTTAATTCTCTTTTCCCCTCAGCTTTTATTAGCTGTGATTCTTCTATAAAGGAAATACTTTGTCTCATCAACTATTGGGTTGCTCTAAAATACTCAGTTCAGGAAAATTATCTCCTTCTCTTTTACCTAGTACAAATTATTATCCTGACAAACCAATCTACAACACTCAACCTTTCCTTTTTTTATCTTTGAAACCTTGGAGCTTTTCTCTCCTATACTTCTAAATATCTTTGTTTTTTTTTGAAGCACTCCAAGTTACCCCAAATAAATGCCAGATATATAAAACTTAGTCAACACATATTATGTACGTAATATGTTCAAGGCACTCTGCTGGGTACTAGTTATATGATAGTAAACAAAATAGAATCTCTGCCTCCAAGAGCTTGCAGTCAAGAGTTAGGGCCTCTACCTTTTCTAACGCCATAACTATGTAAAAGGTGCCCCTGGAGTTGTGCTGTACGGAAAGGTTAGAATGGGAAGGGTGACAGATCAATAAACTGACAATTTTTATACAGTGTAGTAAGTGCTAGTCTTGAGGGAAGTCAGGGAATAAGTTTAAGTTGAAACCTGAGGGATGAATAGCAATCATCTTGATGGAGAAGTGGAGGGATTGGAAGAAAACAGGCATAAAGGTAGCAATGTGTACAAAGGCAGAAGGTGAGAGGAAGCAGGGCACGACTATGGAACCACAAAGGGTTGAATATGATGGGGTGTAGCATGGAGATGGGCTGGAATGAAAAAACAGAGCAGGAAAGATAAGCTGGTCCCTCTCTTGAAGGGCCTTTATAGGACATGATTTATCCTGGAGGGGAGCCACTGCATGGTTTTAAGTGGGTTATGACACGGTCACATTTGTGTATGCAGAATGTCCAGTAATAGCACATTTGTTCTCTTGAACCTAGGCACATGGGACTTGAAATTGGCTTCAGAGTATCCTTGTCTAGGTGATGCCCACTCACAGTCTCAGGCAGACACAGTAACGCAGGCCGCCTAAAAAATAAAACTTGGCCTTCACCCCAGGAGGACACTAAGGGCCTACAGGCCCTAAGTACCTAGTTTCATAATGAAGGCCCCAGACACTTAATAGAAAAATATTAACAACACAAAGGGGAAAGTACTGCCCTTAGATGTAGCTTAAAATCCTGCACTGTCACTTTTCTTGGGGTCATTGTGTATTTACAAACACACCCTCCGTCTGAGGTCACTTTTCTGTTTCCTTCACTATTACCATTATTATCTTCCTCTTATCACAGGCATTTCCACTGCTCACCCTCTCCTTTTCTGTCTCAAGGTAGGCCTATCACATCCTCTAACACCGTCATTTTTTTCAAGCTACAAGCCCCTCAAGGCTCCAGGCATGGTGCTCTTCCTTGTGCATGGTCTAAGTACTAACTATTCCTCCAGTAAGTGAGGAATGTGATTCCTTAGGGATTCTCAGATGCCAGAGAAGGAGAAGGGTATTTGCAACCCTTAAAACAACACGTCCATTTCAAATTCTGTTTTTGGAGCTCACCACGCATTGTAGATCAGACCTGTAAGAAACTACTGGTGCACTTCTAATTGGACTCCTATAAATAGGCTCTAAAAATAAAAATAACTTACCAAGAACATCAGAAAATAATCAAATCAAGTATCAGAAATTATTATGGAAAATATATCAAAACTACCTCTCATTCAGATGGTTTGGATTGGACAGTTTCTGTTTTCCCTTAGTATTACCTGGTCTCCTGAGAATCAGACAGAGATCTCACTGTGCAGCTCCAGCTGGGACCCCAGGGCTTTTGGACCTCCTGCTAAATAAAGGGCTTCCCAGTGGGGTTCCATAGTCAGAATGAGTTCATGTTCTTGAAGTCTAGAACCAGGATAAGTGATTGACAGCTGGCTTTGACCGTATCTTGGAATGTTTCTCATATAAAACAAAGAGGAAAACAAATTACAAATTCTTATAGATTTCTCATAAAGTGCCATTGCTAAGTTTAAGTGCAAACATCTGGATCTTGGCCTAGATTAAAAACACATCATTCTTACATCCCTATGACAGAAGCATCAAATGAAATCTGTGGTTTCTCTAAGTTTTTAAATTTTTCTTTAAATTTTGGTTAAATTTCTTTAAATTCTGTATTATTACATTCTACTATGTAAATTACCTTCATCCAAGTTGAGATCACCAAGTAAATATGTCTTCAGCTCAAGAATTTATTTGATTAGATTTTTTTTAACAGTGACTTTTTATTGTTGTTGGTTTTTTTGTTTTGTTTTTTCAGAAAGATCAGCCCTGAGCTAACATCTGCTGCCAATCCTCCTCTTTTTTGCTGAGGAAGACTGGCTCTGAGCTAACATCCATGCCCATCTTCCCCTATTTTTATGTGGGACGCCTGCCACAGCATGGCTTGACAAGTGGCGCGTAGGTCTGCACCCGGGATCAGAACCGGTGAACCCCAGACTGCCAAAGTGGAACGTGTGAATTTAACCACTGCGCCACCAGGCTGGCCCCTGATTAGATTTTAATAAGCCCAATTTTTATTCTGAATTTCACTATATCATTCCCATCTCATTTTCTTTTCGTAATAAAATGGAACCCAATTTCGTCAATTATTGTACAAAACCACCTTTCAATAGCAGCTTTAAGTGTAGAGTAGAGTGTCCGTGTTAGCTGCCACGTTGTTAGAGACTCTTAGGCTGGTCTCCCCTCATCACAGGAAAGGTATTCTTTTAAGCCCAGGGAATCCCTGGATTTCTTATGAGTGGATCTAGCTCTCATATAGAACTCATTAGTAGACTTCCCTTCCTTTTACTTCTCCCACTTGAGCCCTCAGCCTATACTTGGGCTAACATTGATGGACATAAGATTTTTGGTTCCACCATTTCTGATTTCTCTGTAAGTTATAGATTCCTCCATTACTGACTAGTGGGTATGTGACTACACAAACAGTAGTTTGGTTTATAGACTCAGTTGCCATAGTGAAAATGACAGCATCATGAAGTGGCCCTTGTGCTGTCCCAAGGCCAGTATGTGAACGAGATCTATCAGTATATGCATGTCTCTTGCTTTGGAACTAGATATCCTTGACTCACCCTTGCAGTGCATTCCCCTACTTC